GTGTTACGACGGCGACGATTCGCCAAAATTAAAGTTTTTAGATCGGTAAGTAGAAAAACAAAAAAATATGTAATTACATAAAAATCCGGTCTCCACTCAATGTTCTTGGAAAATTGAAATGTATTCTGAGAAATTGAGCTCGCAGTTCTGCATTTTCAGACACACTCAAACGTTAGTTTCTTAAATTTTTCAACGAAAATGTACATGTATGACGAGGTATTATATTTGTATGGTATTCTTAAAGTCATGTTTCGGTTCTATCATTAGGGATAAGAAAAATTGAAAGAAGTGTGGAAAAAAATTATCTTTAGGTGGCAATGGATGGCAGCTGGGAAGAGGGTGGAGTAAAACCGAAAATATAGTCCAGAGTAAAGAAATAAGGAAATGAATTAGTTTGAGAAAGTCTGTATCATTCTGTAGCATCAGTAGTTTATTTTATTTCACAAATCACACTACTGGCGCTATAATTGGGATAGACGGTCTTGTATCCTCTATAACCGAAGTATAGAACTGCATTTATCTTGAAAAATTGTGCGTTTCCAAACAATTCTGATTTTTACTTGGTCATCCTTCGAACAAGTTTCACTAACTGAAGTGACTTGGTGGCTCAAGAATGATCAGTAGTAGCGACAGCGGAGATGGAGCGGGAAATGTAAAGCGAAAAAGGACAGCGAGCAAGCAAGCCAATCAGTATTAGTGAACTTCGTAAGCGTGAGTACGCACAAGGATTGTAAAAGCAAACATCATATGAATTCAATTACAAAATGTTAATATTCAAAATTAAAACATCGCCCAAAATACATCTGGTTTAGGAATCTCCAACATATTCACAGGGGAATAATTTGATTCGAAAATGACAGCGCGCTATTTTACCACTTTTTCAAATGTGTCCGAAAGTACGAAAACATTTTTAAAATTAGCTTAAGCTATTTTAGTTGGAAAAAGATAATCACAAAGCGACTTCTATCAAGGCGACAAACGCCGTTTTAGGATTAAAAATCGAGTCGTAGGATGATAAAAGTGCTAGTGCGTAATATCTGTTCATTCTTTCCGGTAGTGGAATGATAACGGAATATCTTAGAAGTAAAATGTATCGATATCCAAATCGGAATCGATATTTTGAGTAATGCCTCAAACAATTTTATAATGATATTCGAAGGAAGACGGAAATATGTGAACTATTTATATAGTTATATTCTACTATTACAGATGATACGAAACCATTTCCTTTTGTTACAGCATCACTAGTTTATGTGGGGGAAATATATCGAGATGCAAAGTGACGAAAGCATGAATCGATTGCCAGGCTTTCCTGTCTCGCAAGTGTGACCACCTCTGCCGGGGCTCCATACCGTTCCACCTAAAGTCACAAACCAAATTAAAATGAATACGCTATACAATTGTGTTACGAACAAGAAGCAAACAACATGTTACTCATTGAGTTCAAGTCTTCTCAGAACAGGACACATTCTAAATCACATGAAGTTATATTGAACCTCATACAATATTGTCAAAGAAGATATTTCCTCGACTGATCTCGCAGGTGGCAAATTGCAAAATATGTCAATACGCCGAAGGAGCAAATACTTACACTTTAGGTCTTCGGCGAATTCTTTAGTTCAACCTCGTATGTACTACAGATGACAGCAATATTTAAATATGTAATTTATTTAAGTTTTGGAAATATATTTATTTGTGCAAAGTACTTAAATTTACCTCACTATTCAAGAAATATTATTGTCAAATTGCCGCCTTGCGAAAGATGAGGCGTCAAAAATCGTTACACTAGTGCGAACACTTTTCAGGATTTCAACGTCAAAAGTAATTTGTTGAGACAGCAAAGTGTGAAAGTGGCTTTTAGATATTACTATCTCCGGTACTAAAAACTTCGCTTTATATAGGAGAATGTAGAACACTGTAGTTCAAGTACAAAATGGCTAAAAAAAGTGACAGAATCAACATGTTTTCAATAATATATTAGATCTTCCAATGATCACTGCGAAAATCAGAATTCCATCGTTGCTTCAGCAGCAGAATGGCTTACAGTACCACCAACAAAAAAATCTGTTGCCAACTCGAAAGAGGAAAAGGAGATTGTCGCCTGCTAATCTCATGACTTGGAAAATGGAAAACAAGAGACGGTGAGTGATCCATCAAAAACATAAATCGAAAACTGCACAACTCTTCAGTGCATTAAGTCGCGGAGACAACAAATGCACTCATTCTTCATAATTTACTATTTTCATGTTACAAACATAAGATGTACAAACTTTTAGAATTTCGTTGGTCAGTCACAAAATATTTATGTTCTCTCTTGTGTCTGTCTGGTAGTCTGTACATCAGATAGTGACAGTATTGCACGTCTGTCCTAGCGACTCCGATCTCACAGGTCTACCCTTGATTTCGGTACCTTTGAATAAATGTGAATACAAATAATAATAATAATAAATATAATAATAATAATAATAATAATAAACAAAAAGTACACTGTAGATAACTCCAGATACATGCATAAAAAGAACCAAGAAATTCAAAATTATATTTTACTAATAGTTTACGAGATAAAACTTTCCCCAATGTTACCAGTAATTGCGTCATGAAAATTCAAGTCTCCCCTCTCATCGCTTCGCTTCTCTCCCTGAAGCGTTGCCGTGGGAGACGCCAAATCTGGGCTGGTTCTGCGGTCGCTTCCGATGACATACAAGGGTCTGTGTTATCGCCTTCCGCTTACGGAGTTAGGAGAGGTGTCACAGCAGGAGCGGATCCTTCCGATAATTTTTCGGGAGGAAAGGAGGAGGAGGAAGAGGGAGGAGGGAGGAGGAGGAGGAGAGGAGGAAGGAGGGAGAGGGGAGGGAGGAGGGAGGAGGAGGGGGGTTCATCTTATAGTTTGGTAAATAATATATGTATTTGTTTTTATATTGTATATTATTTAGTGATTCACCAGATGAACGCCATAAAACAGATAAACGCCGTTTTAAGATCAAAAATCAACTTGTAGGATAAAAGAGCTCCGCTCATTCTTTCCTGTATTTGACAACGGAAGATCTTAAGAGCCAGGTGGAATGATAACGGAAGACCTTAGAAGTAACCTATATCTAAAATAAGATGTGAGGAGATGGAATAATGGTGATATTTGCAGAATTAGTTCAATTTTTTAAAAACCAGTTCCAAATCGGAATCGAGATTTTGAGTAATGCCTCAATTTTAAGAATGTATTCTAAGGAAGACGTAAATATGTGAAAAAGATAGTTATGTACTACTATTACAGACCGTTTGCCTCGGTCTGTAATAGCAATCCAGCATATCTAGTTTGATATGAGTGAAAAAATAGATTGAGATGCAAAGTGACGAAAGCATAAACCGACTGTCTTGCCTGTCCTGCAAGTCCCGCCTCCTCCCCCGGGGCTGGCCGTGCCGACAGAGGGCCCACAGCGGGCGGGTGAATGACGCACCGGAACGGAAGAGGGAGGGGGCGAGGTCTTTTCCCAAATTTCACTTTACGATGCTCCTATTCGTCCGATTTGCATGATTGTCACGACGTTGGATTCAGGAAGCATGTCGCCATCGCGCTATAAGCCCACATTTTTTTTCCTCGGAAGTTTGAGAACTAATTTCAAATTCGAGTTTTTGCTAGATTTTTGGAAAAATGGCTTTGAAGCGTAAATTCTATTTGAAAAAGGCGTCAATTGCCGTTTACACATCGAAAATCGGACCATTGGTTCAGACTTTATCAGTCAAGTGAATTCCCTTGTGATAATGCTGCGATCTATTGAATTTTCCTACAAGTATTTTTCGGTGCATTTAGCCTTAATGAGTTAAATGAAGGTCACCTGTTAACTCAGCTTGCAACATAATTTCTTTTAGCAGTCTTCCTTCATTAACAGTTTAAAAACTAATAAGCCTGATGAAAAATTTTCTGAAACAGTTTTGAAAATTTTAACTTTTTTAAGGATTCAATCAAATGGCATGGGCTAATTACTGATACAAGAGCAAGTACCACCTGGGCGCATTAAGTTGTGACTGATGCAGCTACAGTTGTTTCTAGGAAAGGATATTTTAAATGGAATTTGAAATATTCATTCCTACTTATCATTTTGAATGGAGCAAGTTGTAATGTTCTCAATTCAAAATGTTCAGTATTTCAACACCCAAAGTTTTGCAGCTGCACAAAATCATTTAAATACAACTTGTGTAGTTGGGCAAGGCCAACTCAAATTGGAAACGCCACCGAAATGTTAATACTACACCAAATAATAGGGCACATGTTCAGCTATACCAGTAACAAATGCTGGGACTGTCTTGGGATTGAAGAACATAATTTCTCAGCCAAGACAGGAAGTTTCCGATACGTTTAAAATGATGGAACTCCTTAAATGAATAAAACTACTGACTACATTATATGATGTATAAACAATGCATCCTAATAATTTACATTGATTATTTTCTCCCTTTCATTGTTTTAATTTTGCAGTCTCTTGAACGCGAAGTAACATTTATATCCTAAGCAAGGATACTACTAATGATACTAAGGATACTATTGATGTAAGGCCATAATGGCTCATTCTTAGAGTTTAGATATTTAAGCAATATACAATACCAATTGGCAATGGCATAAAATGTGCAGTACAAGAATGAAACATTTGCAGTTTTGGATTTTGGGCTGGGGAACAAAATATAATTGCCAATGATAACAAAAGCTCAAACACAAGAAATTAGTGCTACAACAACATACTTTCTTGTTTTATTGTTAATGGTTACATAATATAAAACCAGTTGATGAAAGGTTTCACAATGCAGGGTCACAAATAATTTTCCAGTAATATCTGAACACTTGATTTTACATTAGAGAAGACTCCAAAATCACAAGGAGTATATCACACCATCAAGAGCAGCTTCGGAATTGTGTTCCAGAATTTTCGGGCATCAGCGTACCCCTAATTCTATAATTTATACTACAAATTTGTGCAACTTCAGCTGCAATGCAATGTGATGCAACTTACCTTGGGGAGAGACCTGAGGTGGGGTGGTAGGTACACTTCGACCTGTACCAGCTTCTTCCAACTGGTTGAGATCCATGCGATTGTCATCCATATTTTCCGATGTTCCTTGAGACACAGTGCGTGTAGCTGGTGGGTTTGCATCAGAAAATGTAAACCTGGTTTGCGGTACTTGGGGGGAACTTACGGCTTCCCCAAAACCATCTGATCGCCTTGGCACAAATAATGTGGGTGTACTTGGTACTATGCTATCGTCACCTGATTCTTCATATCCCTGTTCACAAACAGTACACAATTAGTTGCACACACTAAACAAAACCAATGATTCTCTGTAACAAAATGTTGTGAGAAAAAATATGCCTAGCACGTTGGCTGCCACAATAGTCAAGATAATGAACTTTTTGGCTGAACTAACGATAACTCTTCATGACAGAATCAACTGCTGATGCTCAAAACCATGACCTGACAGAAACCAAACCTGACAAGAATTATATTTTGCTTCTCACAGAAGACAAGTGCTAGACTTGTGTTGTTTTATACGAGGGTTGCCTTTTATATTTCAGGATTAGAGAACAAAAACCAATATTAATCATCAAAAATCACTTTTTTTCAAAACATTCCCCATGAAGATCTATACACTTTTGCATGCCTTTGAACAAATTGAAAAAGCACTTTTGCCACTCAGATTGAGGTATCTCCAAAACATGCATTCTGAATGCAGCAACCGCTTCTTC